GTAAACAGAGATCTGATGAAACTTACTCCATCAACACAAATCGTTAAAGGTATCTCTTCAATAACCCATTTTTTGTTTGTTTTTCTGATATAGTTTGCATCTCTAATCTGATGAGTGATCTGCTTCATCCGAGGTTGATTTTGTCAGTTTCGTCTATGTCTAAAAAAGATCAGAAAGGGCATATCGGATCTGGAGCTAACGGATGGTTTAAGATGAATCTCTTCAGGTCAATTTACTTTCAAATAAGTTTGTTCAGCCAGTGTACCTAAACAATGAAAAATCAAAATCTGAAGTTTTTTACTATTTTCAGAATATGTTTCATGTCACCCGATGAGTTATGCCGTTAAAAGCTTGTGGATCAATGATCAGGAGAAAACTGCTTAGTCAATACCTTCAACTTCTTGTTCTAAAAATAAGTCTTTAATTTTTCTCACATCTTTTAAAGGTGTATGCTATAATATATATCCTTTCATTTTCATATTTTGATCATTGTTTGATATTACTTGCAATGGTTTGAAAATTTGTATCAATACATACTTGAGGACACAAGCTTATTTAATCAAAGTTTCGAGATTGGATGTATTAGTGGCTTTATTTAAGTGTTTGATTATTGGATGTTGGAATCTTTACTAAATTTCTATATAGTAATGTTGGTGTCAATAGCAATTACTTCTTATTTGTTCTGGCTACATACATGATTAAAAATGAATCCTCTATAAGCGATATGTGAACTTCATGATTGGTTTGTTTTTGATTGCTAACAGTCATTGTATTTTTGTTCGTTTATTTAAATGTTCCTATAATTGTATTGAATATTGATATCTACATTTCAGATCTCTATCATGAGCTGTTATCGTTTAGTTTATTAGATTATGATGATTAAAACTGTAAAAGAATCTTCAATCTTAACAGTTCTAAATGATATATCGTTTGTTATTCAGAGCATAGCTCTCATTTATTTTCAATATAGTTTGATTATTGTTTCATGAACCTTTATTCTCTGGTTTGTTACAGGAGTAAATGAAAATGGTCACAATCTATACCTAACAAAGGTTCCTCTTATTACCAGGTATTATTAGCTCTCCTTTTGGTCAGAACTGTTTTCCAGGTTCGCTAACTTGGAAGTTTTCAATAGTTTTACATTCGCCAAAATACATTGATCCCCCAAAGATTTCAAATAGTTCCCACAAGTAGCATGAACTTTGATACAATTAAAGAAATTTTAAAGAATAACACTCTATTCACGATTTAAATAAAACTAATTGTTACTTTTGAAAATTTTAAATTATAGCTGTATTACCTTTTTGGTGTTTATGGCTTTGGCTTCAATCAACCAAGTTGTTTTCCATGGCATAATCTCATCAAGGTACACCAGTTTTTTCTTAGAAGACATTATTTGAGAATTGTTTTGATATCTGCGTGTTTGATCTGAGGTTAATGTGATGTATATATAAAAAAGGGTTGTGGAAGATATTTTGAATCAATCCTGTTAGAGTATATAAGGTGTGAGTTCAGTAAAATCATTAATCTTGTTTTGATTGGTTGTTATTTGTCTTTTGAAAATGTAAAAATAAAAAATTCCACGTGGTAGTTATACTTTGGTATATTCTTTATTGTTATCTAAGGAACCTCAGAAAATTTAGATCATTTTCTCAAAAGATTGGGACATGATTTAGTATATGTGATATTGTTGGGTAGTTTCTTCCGAAAATCAAACTTATTTTCCAAGTTTTGAGGCTTTGATTTAGTGGATTATATTATTGGTATTTGTGTGTTAAAAAAAATATTTTTTTTTGGTATTTGATTTGGGAAAGTTTGGGATTTAAATAATTTGGTCGACTATATTTGAATAATGCAATATATGGGTTTTCTGGTGCAATCGTTTGTAAGCAAAACTTCTGTTTGGAAGTGACGAATGGTAATAACAGTGATATTAACAGATGTATATTGTTTTTATTTTGAAATTTGCAGAATCCAATAAACGGTCAAGCTTAGTATTGCTGGAACATCATTCTTAATATACAAAAAGATGGTACATCTCTAATCTATAAGAAAAGAAAATCAGTGTTGATACAATTGAAGTTAGTTTAAAATGTAGATGTTACTTTGTTATTTAATGATACGTTATTCTTTCATTAGCAATGCATTATGTATTACGTAAAATAAAAGAATTACGTAGCTGTAATGTAGGAGTTTATGTTTGAATAAAAAAAAATCACTTTTTGTCAACAAAAATAAAGCATTTAATCAAAAGCATAAACTAAATTTATACCAGTGACAGAACATGGTAAATACTTCCTAAAACTAAGCACACTTCAAAAAAGAATCTTGTATTTTAATGGGAAATTGCACTGTATAACGGTCAAACAAACTATAATTAAGAGACTAACCATTTGCCCTACCTTTTCCCCGTTCCCTTTGAAATATATGTAATATTGCTGTATTGTCCTTGGAAACAACCGGAAAAACCTGCTAAATAAATAATTAATAAAAATATATCTTTGAGTAAAACAGGCATCGTGGCTTTTGGAGAACCACACTCTTCAAGACAGCAACTTTTAATTGGTAAAAGAGGAGAAAAATTGAATAGTTTCACATCAAATCCTCTTCTCTTCTTTCCCCCGACTCCACTCCGGCGAGATTTGAGCTACCATCAAAGAGAACCGGAGATCCAATAGGCGACTGCAGTGAAATCAGCCCGGCAAAAATGTTTTCTATTTTTCTGTGGCCATTTTTCTCTGATTCTGCGACATTCCCTTTAGAAAACAAAGTAATTGACGAACATGACAGTTGCGTCGGTTGGTTTCTAATCGGACGGCGATACCGTTTACCGGAGATTCAGTAACCTTCGGTAAGTTTGAGTTATGCAATTGGGTTTAATAAATATAAAGTTGACTGTTTTACGTCTCCTTTCCCGACCAAATTTCAATTGTAAATATCTTGATTGTTGAGGGTTCACTTTTATTCTCCGTGTTCTAACGTGATTAAACATGAAATTATTCTATTTATCGGAAATTCTATTCAATCTTTCTATTCCATTTGTTGCATGTAGTCGTTGTTATACCAACCAATAAAAATTGTTGTTCCGGCTGTCTTACAGATATGTTTTACTATACTATATTTTGCATGTTACTATTCTATTTTACTTGGAAATTTATGTTATAGGATTTAGTATTCAAGGATTGGAAAGGGGGAGGTTTTTTGGATTCTGGAATCGACCGTCCTGAGGAAGACGAACCAAAGCGACGGCAAAATTAATGACGGTAGGCCAAATAATGCGAATCGACATGTCTGAAAAAAGAAGAAGAATTGAAGAAAATGGACTCGTCGTCTATACTTTATTCGGTGAAAGAAAGTTACCGTATAGGGTGTCATACTATTTCAAACATAATTTTATTCTTTACTATTTTACATGTTTCAGTGTATATGTAATTTCATTTATACACAATGTTCCAGATTATAACATCTATAACGTTATAACATTTATTTGTCAATTCGTTATCAACTTATATTATTCAGTTTTATTTATTATCTTCAATGTACTTATAGTTTCACGTGTAGAAAATTTCTGAAATTATGATATTCTTTTCTATTAGAAAAATATAATATAGAAATGTACTATATTTTCATCATCGCCATTGTCTTTTCTTCCAAATTTTTGATTATTTGGAAAATTATTCTTACCAATTTAAATTCGCAAGTCTATTCTAAAATTCCTAGTTATATAATATGGTCTAATATTACAAAATATTATGTGTTATTTTCACATTTTGCTATTTGGATTTTGGGTTTATATTTGTGTTAAGGTTTTGGGTTTAGTGATTGGGGTTTAGGGTTTATATTTGGGTTTAGAGTTTAGTGATATGGGTCTAGAGTTTATATTTGGGTTTAGGGTTAATAATTGGGTTTCAGGGTTTAGTGATAAAGGTTTAGGGTTTAGTATTCTGTATTTAGAAGGTCGGAGTTAAGATTGGGGTTAACATTAACTTCTTATATGCAATAGTTGACATTTCATACTTTGATCAATATGTACTATTCTATTTATTTTGTTACATTCTATTTGGGTTTAGTATTTCTATTTGGATTTATGATTTATATTTGAATGTAGATTTTCATGATAAGAGTTTTGTATTTAGAGGTTGGGATGGAGTTGGGATACGGTATATTATGTAGGGGTTGGGATTGGGTTGATGTGCATATATGAGTTACATATTACATAATACATACATCTCTAACATATACTGGAATATATACTATTAATGTTTATTATTTTATTAGTGTTTAGTAGTTTGAGCTTGTGGATGTTTTTGAATTCTATACCATTTTAACGATATAGAATAAAATATTTGGTGTATTTGATAGTGTGGTTGTTATGCATGTGACGTGGATGACTTATTTTCTTTTAGAAGTCAACAAATCTTATAAATGGTGGCCATACTTTCTTTAGTCGACGTCATCTCTCTATCTCTAAGAGCATCTCCATTGGAAGCTCTTAAGGGGAGTTCACCCTTTTCCCAAGAAAAAAAAAATTAAAATAATATTATTTTGGTGAATCTCTCTCTCAAAAGTTCATGGCAGTGAACCTGGTTCACATGGGGTTCGCCACGTGGCGGCATCCCATTTGTCCGAAATTTTTTTTTTTTTTTTTTAAAAACCAAAAAAAAAATTAACAAATCAATTTTTTTTTTTTTTGGTGAACCCCTCCATGGGGTTCACCAATGTGGATGCTCTAAGTCACCAATAACTTATACAAATAAATGATAATATCAACACAATTATTAGATAATACATTATGTCAAAATTAAAGCTATATACTTAATTTTTCCTTCCTAAATTTGGCCATTTGCTGCTGGCCCTGGTACTTGAGCCGGCCCTGCTCGATACAGTTTCCAACACACAATTTTGTCTTCTCTTTTTTAGTCTTTAGAGACAAAAGTTTACTAGTAAAATCTAGAAAATGTTTCTTCGAAAAGAAAAAAGAAATAGAAATCGAAAGTACGCTAGACAATCCCCGATTTTGATAACCGGACCTGAGAGGGAGAGCATACCAAACCAGATGCGTCTGCGCCAATGACTGCAAGCTCACAGACCGAACATATGTTTCCTTCCTGGCTTGGTACAAACCTGGCGGTGCAGTAAGGACATGAAACATCTTTCTGACCTCTGTAGATGGGTACATAGGTATAGGTTGACCCGCAGATCACAAACGGGTTTCCGAAGTCGTAGTTGAGCTCTGTTGCATCAGTCATATTGCGTTCAGCGGCTTGAACAATTTGTCTAGCCGTCTTGGCTTGGCTCTCCACTGGGTTTGTTTCCAACAATCTTTTGGCGAAGTTATAGGCAGTGGCAAGGTTCTTGGCCTTGTAGCAGTCTCCCATCGCACTAAACAGGGCGAGACGTAAGTGAGGTAGCTGGAGGTTGCAGTGAGTGAAGTAAGCAGCGAGCTCCTGCTGCCTCACTGGGTCATCTTTCGTCTCTCTTCTCTTAAGCTCCATTTTAAGACCGAGGACATATTCTTTAACGATGATGACGAGCTCCTTAACCTCGTCCACTTCACTTCTTGACTCGACCACCACTAGAGGGATGGTGTGGAGGATAGAGAGGAAGAGACGGAGAGCCTCGGTCAATTTGCCGCTTGTTGTGGCTTTGCAACTGGATTTGAGCTTCTCTTCTTGCTGAGAGAAATCATAAACAAGAGCTGGTGGGCCACGGACGGAATGAAATGGAATGAAATGGAATGAGACCGTTCAATGATTTGAAAAAAAAAAATCAACGGAATGAAATGGAATGAGACCGTTTTTTTTTCTGTGGTCACCAATTTAATGTATTTTCAAATTTTAAAATACACTTCTTTTTTAAGAAAACTATACTTTCTAAAACTTTTGTTGACCAAATCCCCTCGTTAAAGCAAAAACTAGATTCTGAAAGCGCAAAATTATTTTGTTTATCAAGCTTTACTTATTATAAACTATAATTTCTATCTATAATGATGTATTTTAAGTTTTATATAATATTATTTAAATATGCATCGACATATCTCGTATTTGTTTTAGTTTATTTTTAAATGTTAGAAATTGAAACAGAGTAATACATCGTTTAACATGTCTTGCATTGGTCAAATTTTATTTTTATAAATTTTTAATCATAGTACACTGTATAGAGTTGGAAAACACTGTATAGAGTTGGAAAAAAATATTCGGATCCTAAGAACCGAACCTGATCCAAAAAATAATATTAAATTCAAATAAAAACTGATCACTGATATAAAATATTTTATATTGGAAGAATCAGACGCAAACCTAACTCGAACAAAATATTTCAGGTATTCTAAAATGTTCATAATCCCAGAAATATATAAAAACTTGTTATCTATCAAAATATCCAAATAAAACCAATTTTATTATAATTTTAGATATTTACTTCTATATTATTCAAATTTATACTTTTTGGATTATTTAATTTTTGGATTTTAAAAATTTACAATATATTTGAATTTTTATATTGTTTACATAATTTAAATGGATATTCAAACCAAGCTTGCAATGTTTAGAACATGGTTTAAATATCGAAAGCCTAAAAATCTGAAATTCGAATAGTCCCAAATAATAACCGAAACGATGCTTTCCAAGAACTTTCCAAGAAGAATCTCTTGTTAGGTAAGGTACAATCCATGTTTTCTACATTTTCTCATAAGCATCTGCACATGCTCCTTCATATCTGCTTTAGCATACACCTTATATAGAAGAAGCTTATACGTTGATGCATCTGCATGAACCCCAAAAGCACTTGGCATTATCGAATAGCTTATCTGCTTCCACGGGAAGACCATGAAGACAGCAAACATCAAGCATGGCATTGAGTGTTGATGCCTTAAACACTCTTTCTGATTCACAACCTCCTCGAATATTTCCCTTGCTCTGGAAACAGAATTACAGTAACCGTACATCATGGTCATGCAGTCGTACGTGATAAAACATGGTACGTAAATAAGGAAAAATTTAAAGATCAAATTGTCGGGAGTTTTGAACCCGATGTCAATCGAACACGCAACCTTCTGATCTGGAAACAGAATTACAGTAACCGTACATCATGGTCATGCACTCGTACGTGATAAAACATAGTACGTAAATAAGGAAAAATTTAAAGATCAAATTTTCGGGATTTTTGAACCCGATGTGATCGAACACGCAACCTTCTGATCTGGAGTCAGACGCGGTATACCATTGCGCCACGGATCCTGATGTCAAACTAGCTTTCATATTCTTATTTCGTTAATATTCTTATTTGTTGTTATTTCTTATCTGCATATGCTCTACCATTATGAATGGCTATTTTTAAAATTATAACCAAGCTTTAAAAATGAAAATTTTAGATAAAAAAAAAAAACTCTTCAAAATTAGTTTCCAGTCTACTAATACATCTTCGGTTTTCACCTAGTCTTCCAAGTTCATATATGCTGTTTGATTAGTGACCAATGAGACTGGTTTGAAGAAGGTAATGATGAATGAGGTTATATCTCTTTCTTTTCTTTTATAGCATGTCACTTTGAAGGAATGTTTTGTGTCTTTTAGCAGAATGCAATTTACATTGCTTTTGCTTAAAAAAATCTTTACTCAGTTTAATTTCTTGTAGATGATTAAGCTTGTTTTGTACCGGTCTCATTGATCCCATACTCTTTTATGCTACATTATGATGAATGAATGATTAGAGAAGCAGGTAATATCGTTTTTTTTCTGATTACATGCGCCTTTTTTGTCTCTCCATCTCATTTATTCGCGACTATGATGAATGAAGTGTCTCTGAGATTTCACCTCAGAACATCTGCAATTACTTTTAGAGGACTGAGCTTACTCTGTGAGAGGTGACTGAGAGAATGTCTTTGAAAAACACTTGTGTTTGTGCTGCAAACTTGCATAGAAGGCTAACGTACTCTGTACATTCACAAGCAAAAAAAAACTAAAAACAATGACGTGATGATCAAGTTTTGCAGAAAAGAATGGAGTCTTCGATAGGATTATGTTCATCTATGAAGTTCTCGATATGCTTTTGTTCAAAACTCTTACAATTTAACATATTGTGGGGGTAGTACAGTATTATTTTTTTCTTTCAGTTTAAGGTTGTGAATTTTTAAATTTACCATACAAACACATTTATTTAGGAAATAATCATTATCTACTTTCCCTTCATGGTCCATTATGCCTTGATCGTGATTTTGATTTTGCAAACTTTGGTATACTGCCTCGTGCTGCAATTTTCCTCCCTTTGATCAACTTTTTCTCCCAAACCCCATCTTTTCGTTCTTTCCCACCAACTACAAAACAAAAAAGAAAAAAAAAATGAACTAAAAAAATCGAAAGTAAAAACTACAACATATATGTAGCCCAAGAAACAAGTCTACCAGAAGCTTACTTAAATATGGGGATTCATATCCTATTTGGACCAAGTCTGTGTTTGATGATGCATAGCAGAAGAGATAAATCGAAATTCAACCATCTTTTGCTCTCTTTTTTTCTTCTTTCTGTTTTTCTAAAATTGTGAATTTCATCATGTATATATAGAGTAATAGAGACAGACATGACCTTAGGCTATCCTTGTTGGTTCAGTATTAAAAAAAAGAACTCATTCAACATTCTTGCTTTCGTATGCTTTAAAGAAGAGATCACTTGAACTAAGAATCTAGACATTCTCGTTTACAAAAATATAAACTAAGTTTTATGTTGGACCAATTTTGAGAAGACTTGATACGTTTTGAAAGAGTCAAATACACGAATTTTTAACTCCTTTTCTTGTTGGCAGTACATTTTCAATACACAACTTCAAATACCAAATTCTAAGATAATAGAAAACATAATCAGGAGATGAAGGAAGAAGTTTCTCATGATTAGAAAGTAGAAATTTACTTGTATTGGGAGATCCAGCAATGACTGTGTTTGTTGATGCAAAGAACAAGAGGAAAAATTATTAACCTACACAATTACATTTTGTATGCTTTTGGTATGTCGGTCTAACCTCTTATTTGATCATTTTGTAAAGTCATTTATTTATATCATGAGACTGAAGAAGGAAATGATGCATCGCTTTTTTTTTCTTTTCTTTTCTTTTCTTTTCTTTTCAGTATGTCACATTTGTTGGGAAGTATCGTGCCTTTAAGCGGAATACAATATTTAACAAAGAAACTAACCAATCCAACCGGTGATCCGGAAGAAAAATACCGTAAGAAAGACTTCAAATAATTATTCAATCGTAAATTCTTTTCTTTTGTTTTTTGGTAAAAGATTCAATCGTAAATTCGTAATAAATGAAATCTTGAAACATATTTGGAAGCAACCCAAATAATTCGATTCCATATATTAAATATTCTGTAAATTGTACAAAAATCATTATAATCACGACTTTGCAGAAAATGGGGTTTGCTTTGCTATATGCTTCTGTTCTGTTGTATTGTTGCGAACCAACATTAGAAAGATTCACCATCTTGCCTTTCACTGTCTGCCCCTCGGTGGTGCAAATGCTTTTGGTGCGCCCGGTGAAATACTGCGAAATGCTCCAATCTTCCTCCCTGTAATCAACTTTTTCTGCCAAACCCCTTCTCTTGCTTCTTTCCCACCAACAACAAAACAAAAGAAAAAAAAATAAACGAAAGAACATGGAAAGTAAAAAAAACTAGAAAATATGTAGCTGGAGAAAAGTG